GTGAGACGCGGCTCGTCACTTGCTGCTCTTACCATGTGGACAAGCCGTCGTTTGCTGCTAAAAAGCTTTAACCCAGCACAGAAGAATGGGAAGATAAAACAAGCAGTTTTCTGTGCGCAAAGGGGCCGAAGCTGTTACGGATTTCGCTCCGATGTCCCGGAGCAAAATAGTAGAACGTAAAGCTGCACTTATGAAAAGTGCGTGGCTTGAAATGGCTGTTATTTCAAACAATGTGGGATATTTAAATCTATGCGGTTAACCGGCTTCAACCGGTTAATGAAGCTGGGTGGTCGGTCAGGAAAGTCTTTTACATCCCTAGTTCGAACAGTTTGATTCTAGAATCAACAGCTTTGTAAAGTCCTCCGAGATAAATCCGGCAAGATGACCATGTCAGATTGAATGAGTTCTCCCACGCATGTTAACTATCAAAGAGCGAGAGCTACAGGTTGCAGTCATATCGCACACTCACACATCTTACTTCTGAATCCTAAAACCAACCATGCATTTTGCATGTTAGGTGTTTGTTTGAACACCTATCACTTTCAATCATCTGTCCTGGGTGGGGAAACCAAAAAGTGGTGTTATTTATAGTTTTATACTGACCTCCTGGTCCTTACAGTGAGTTCTTAATGGAATTTGACTTCATTTCAAACCTAGTTTAGGAATGGGAAAACAGTTATAACTGCAGACTTCAATATACATGTGGATGACAGCACAGACAGCCTAAACAAAGTTTTTAGCGCCATATTAGACTGTTGGATTTAAACAGAATGTTGAGTAGTAGTAAGTAATCTTTATTTATTTATATACCGCCTTTTCACTGCAGATCTGAGTTAGGGCTGGGCGATAAAACGATAACGATATATATCGCGATAGACATGTGTTCGATATCAATAGAGAATGGGGTCGATAGAATGTTCGATAGTTTAACTTAACTCTGTCAGGAAAAACAGGAAGAAAACACCGGAAGTAAAGCTGACTCATAAGCGCGCGGCATTGTGGGGGATGTAGGCAGAGGCTTCTCGACCAATAACGACAGGAAGCAGTTCCTGCTTCCTGCCGAGCAGGAACCGCAAAACTTTATGGGAAATGCAAAAACACCAACAACCGCACCATGCGTAGCGTCCATGGATCTATAGCTCGTGTTTCAATGCCGTGTCAATGGTTATGCACGTACGTGCGCGGAATAACATGTGCGGCGGCAGAGGCAGTGGACAGACCCGATGTATTTGGCAAAAGCAAGAGATTAACTTTTTCCTCGGGAAGCATGTGCGGCAGAGAGCCGCACGGAGCGGTCACGGGGACACAAGACCCTCGAAAACAGCTAAACCAGGAGCTAAACCAGGACTAACAACGAGGGACACAGTGTGAACATACTCCTCCAGCCTCATTCCCCCGTGACTGTAAACAAGGCTGCTAAGGTTGGTTAGCCCACACGACAAATGTATTTATTTGGGTAAAAAAAAAAAAAAAAACTCAATATATATCGTTATCGACCGATATGAATGACTTATATCGTGATATAGTTTTCAGCCATATCGCCCAGCCCTAATCTGAGTCTCAAAGCGGTTTACAATTGTTAATTATGGGCATTTGTCTCTCACTCCACACAGATGGGAGCGGGGTCGCCAGTACAGGAGGTGCATGCCTATTGGACATATTTTTAGTGGTAGGGGAAACCGGAGTACCCGGAGGAAACCTACGCAGACACGGGGAGAACATGCAAACTCCACTCAGAAAGGCCCTGGTCCGACCGGAATTCGAACCCAGGACCTTCTTGCTGAGAGGCGAGAGTGCTATCCACTCAGCCACCGTGCCGCCCACGGAACCGTTGAGGAACCTAATCACATTCATACAAACACTCTGGACATTATCCTGACTTATGGTATTGAGGTTTCCAATATTAACGTCCCGCGTCAAAACCTGTTATTATCTGATCAAGTTTAATCTCACTCTGAAAAACCATAATGAAAGGACCCTTAAATTATAAATCTTACCCTTAAATTATAAATCTTACAAGGTTCAAAGAACTAATACAGCCACTGTTAAATAACATTTCAGCTGAGCCTGCTCACAGCTGCTTCAGTCCCTCGGTCATCGACCAAATTGTAAACAACACAATGGAGTCTTTAAAATCTGCATTAAATGCAGCAGCTCTAATAAAACAGAAAACTATAAGGATTAGACCATCGTCCACCATCTAGCTGGATATTGTAAAACCGAACTCCAGAAAACTGGAGAGGCTATGTCGCCACTCCCACTCGGAGCCTGTCTACAGGGAGTGGAGAGCATGTCTCCAAAACTACAAGAACGCCCTTTGCAGGGCTCAATCTCAATACCATTCAACAACAGAAGATTTTTGTTTGTCGCTAAATTCACAAACTGCCATAGCGCAATCGAGCCTAAAATACCAATCTCCCTTAGCAATGTCACTTAATCTAATGTCCCACTTCTCAGTGGGCCTAGGGACACTTCTTGAGAACCTATGCCTCCATTTGTAGTTCTCATTCCCCCGTGACTGTAAAAACAAGTGCTGCTAACGAGTTAGCCAACATAACAAATGTATTTATTTAGGTTTAAAAACAATAATTAAAAAAACAATAATTATCGATAATGACCAATATGCAGAGATGAACCGATATACTGAGATGTTGCTGCAGTACAGTGTTGATGGTTTTATACGGGTAGAGACCAGAGCAGAGAGGATTCATGGTTCGAACCAAGCGGATCAGGTGAAAATCCACTGGAGGAATGCTGACTTTTTGACAAATGCTAATGAAGCATTTAGCATTTTACTTTGGACAAGAGCAGAGAAAATGGTCCACCTTGTGACCTGTCCTGCTCCAACCAGAGGCTACTCCACCTCTGCTGCTGGGACCAGTCCTGCTCCATCCAGAGGCTACTCCATCTCTGCTGCTGTGACACGTCCTGCTCTACCCAGAGGCTACTTCACCTCTACTGCGGTGACCCATCCTGCTCCATGCAGAGCCTACTACATCTCTGCTGCTGTGACCCATCGGCTCCACCCATTGGCTACTCTATCTCTGCTGCTGTGACCTGTCCTACCCAACCCAGTGGCTACTCCACCTCGGCTGCTGTGACCCGTCCTGCTCCACCATGTGGCTACTAGGGTTTAATATTTTTCCCGAAAATGAGACGTATCAAATCCCGGGAAAAGACGACGCCTTTCCTGGGAAATCCCGGGAAATAGCTGTTGTTTGTAGTTGTTGTTTTTAGCCCAAGTAATGTATGATATCACTCAAATATATAATCCAACAAAAGCTGCCATCTCCACTAGTGTTTCACCAAGCGACTTGCTAGCTTTTCTAAAGCAGCCATAGCGTTTGACGTTTTGTTGATGGGCTTTCTTCAGGAATTTCACTATTATGAGATTCTAAATGTCTGCGCAATCCACTTGTCGACCAGTGACGTGCGGTGTGGTTTGGAGGCACTGACTTCAGTCTCGTCAGATGAACATATATCATATAAATCAACAGAACCTACAAAGCGGCTTATTCACAATTAGTTTGGCTACAGCAGAATGTTTTCCATGGCCCGCATTGTTTGCTCAAACAAAACGCAAAAGTTCGTAAAAGGCACATTTCCAATTGTGTTATGGGTCTTACCTTAGTTATTAATGAACAGCACAGACCACTTCAGTTCAGACCAGTTTCATGTTTAAGTCCAGATAATAGTTTGAGCGCAGATATGTAATCCCCCATTTGGAAATAAGCCCAAAAAGTTTTAAAGCGTAAAACAAAACGGGTGCCACCTCCATAAACTCCTCTGTGTTTTCGCTGCAGCCGGCTCTCGGGCGCATCCAATTGTCTAATATCAACCTTCTTACCCTTCTCCTCTCTTCCTTATCATTCCTATCATCATTGTAAGCAGAACATTACTCTAAATGCATTTTATATGATTTTAAAATGTGTTATATGTATGTTAGCCAAACCTGTTGCTGCCCTTAGCAGATGGAAAAAAAGAAAGGAGCTTTCTGATAGAATTGGACGTAGCCAAATTCTGGGCTCACATGTGCCCCGTACCCTGAGCCTGGCCTCATTACAAGTCGTGGTTTAGCGCGATTAAGACCCATATTTGTTGTCAAAAACACAATTTATGAGCCATCCTCTCAGCTGTAGACATGTTGATTGTAAATGAAATATGTTTGAACTTTGAACAACAATAAACGTGCTTTATAATAGGAGCGCACTGTATTTTTTTTTTACTTTCATTTCCCGTTTCCCGTCATAACATTTCCCGGGAATCGGGAAATAGTTTTCATCAGATTTCCCGGGAATCCCGCATCCCAGGATTAAACCCTAGTGGCTACTCCACCTCTGCTACAGTGACCTGTCCTGCTCCACCCAGATGCTACTCCACCTCTGCTACAGTGACCCGTCCTGCTCCACCCAGATGCTACTCCACCTCTGCTACAGTGACCCGTCCTGCTCCACCCAGAGACCACTACATCTTTGCTGCTGTGACCTGAAGGCCTGTGGCTGATTAATACTATTATTAGCTTTTTAGAATAATCGATTTTATTTTTGCTACTGGACACTTGAATTTCTCCTACGGGCCTCAATAATTATCTATCTATGAATCACTTATACTGCAATATAGTTTTCAGCCATATCGCTATATATGATAATCCTGATGTTTTCATGTATTGTTTTCCAGCAAAAAACTAAAGAAAAAAATCAAGAGTTTATTTTCTTTCATAATGTTGATAATCGTGGTACTCAAAATTTTGAAATCGTGGCAACCCTAATGTTGGCGATTAACAGTCTTGTTGAGTCCTCTGAGATGACTACTGTTATGATTTAGGGCTATACAAGAATACATTGAATTCAATTCAACCTGTGTAGACACAGGAGAACATACAGGGTCCTGACAAAAAGGCCTGGAGGAGGAATCAAACCATGGATCTTCTTGCTGTGACACACAAGTACTAACCACTGTTCCATGTGCTTCTATCCACATGACTACATAACAAGACTTACCCGGCTCCGGAGGTAATCTGCAAGGTTTTTTCTTGTGAAGTTGGCTGCGGCCGACGGACTGAGTTCATAACCTGAAAAAAACCACTGATCATTAGTAAAATGGGTCTGAGCAGCAACTGCAGGACTGCTCCCAGAAAGGACATGTCAACAGTGCCTTTAAAGCTGGGGTCTTTAGACCACAATAGAACTATGTATTAAACCCATGTCTCTAGTTCTGGCTCTAAAACAGTTGCTTTTGTCACTAGTTTCAAGTATCTCTGGCCTCTGTAAAACACAGAATTTGTTTTAATGAAAAACTTTTAAAAGAGAACCACCTTCAATCAGAGAGAGAGAGAGAGAATTTACGACACAAGAAGTCAGCTACGCGTTTGGAATGAATCTCACCATTTCTCATTTTGTAGAGCTGCACGTTCTTCTGGATGTACTCTGCAAACTGCACCGTGTCCCCCGCCTCTCCCACACACAGCAGTAGGATCTTCTCACTCAGTTTGAACATTTTATCGTAGTCTGTAAAACAATACGAAATCGACACGAGACATTACTTTCACTTTCACTACTTTAATGTGTCAAATAAAAACCAGGACTCGTTACACATATTCATCTTTATCAGTAGTAGTATGTATCCATGTAATATACCTGACCTGGAAACGCACAATAATTTAAGTCTTCATTCCAAAAAACCCTACTTTACAATAATAAACAGTGATAATCAGCTTCGATTGGGAAGATGCCAAGACAACATTGGTAAAAAAAAAAATACACAATTAATACATTAACTAACATATCATTCACTGAAACAAACTGATGTTAACTAAATAGTAGCAGTTAAAGCTACATTCAGTGGATTTTAGATTTTTAGTGAAACCGTGTGGATGCTAATGCTAAGCTAAAGCGTTGTCATTACCGTGTTTCATCTGAATGATGCTGTTAGCTGCTACATTATCCGCGGCAACGAGCACAAAATCAGGTCCCTGGATTCCAATTAAGTACTCCATGCCGTATAACCCGTGCAAAACGATTTTATTTTCTTTGAAAGTCTTGTTTTGGCTCGTATTCTTTCGCCTCGATTGGATTACACAGCAAAAGTGATGTAGCTGTCGCGCGGTGTTTGCGTCAGAGGAGCGACAGCAGCAGTAGTTTGGACCGGAGTTGCATCAGTCATTAAAGTAATAAAATCATATATAATACCTTATTTCTTTCATACCCATTATGATTGTCATTTGTTTTGGTTTATATATATATAATTTGTTTTTGTCTTCGTCATTGTTTGTATCGTATATGTATTTTTGTCTTTTTGTTAAAAAAAAAATAATGGACCGGAGTTGCCAAGTCTGCTACTTGAAAGATTGTTATTTCTGTAAATGTGCTTGTAAATATTTAACAAAGATGGTTTGCAACTATCAAAGTCCGGTGCTATTTTACATTTCTGTCCAAAATGACTTCAACAAACGGGGTGATTAAACAGACATTGTATTTACTGCTTTAAACTTGTTTGAATGTAGAATTTAAATGCAATAAACGAATTCAGCACACTGTTTTATTAGTTGTATTCTTATAATCTCTTTTATCAGAGCGATTTAAACACCGTTTTAATACTTGTCCAACAGCCCTATCACTTGGTGCTGTAAAGACCTGGCAACCCACATCAGGCGGGCGATTTGACTTGGGCGGTGCTAACCCTAGTTATTGTGACACGGAGCTAGGGAGTCACTTCTCTTTAACTTTTCACGTGTTTTTGGGTCATTTTTGGGATCAATATTTTTGCAGAGAGCACGGAGCAATGCCCCTGGACGTAATTCCGTGGTCTGACGGGCAGAACGAGCCCCAGAGGCGTCGGTCTGCGAGGTTTAGTCCGAACTCAAGTGACCACACCAAAATGGCGCCTTCTGCATCTGCGGTGAAAAGACGTATCACTGTGAAGAAGATTGCCCCCAGAAAGACGACCTTAGGCCCATCTGACCACAACAAGGAGAACACTCAGAGGGGACAGGATTCAGACGTGTTAGCAGAAACCAAGAAGCAGAAGGTAAAGCAGATCTATCTGCAAGATGCATGTCAAGACCAATTCTCTCTCTCTGGACTGACTCTTGTCTCTCTCCAAAAATGTGATCAAACGATTTTAGAGCCAGGGCCGATTATTATTGTATGGGAATCATGCAAATGTATGTTTTGTGCTGGTCTTTAACTCAGTCTTTAACCCACAGGCTCTGTAAACTTGATTGAAATGTACATAAATGCTCTGTTCTTAATGGTATTCACTGTAATACTACAAAACCATGCATCCTGCTGGAAAAAAATGCCAAAGTCTGGGGATTGTGTCCTTAATTCAGACAGAAGTCATGTTTTATTGTCAATGGTAGACAGCATGAGCAAAGCTGTAACAAAATGCAAGTGATTATTATACAGCATGAAGGAATGAGGACTGCCAATCAGCTTTTTCCACAGTGCCAGTATCTTGGCCTTGAGATGACCAAAACATGCAGTGGGAAACTACTGCCTTGAGCATATTGTTATAATGATGAGTTAGAACTTTAACCACAGTTGCTTCAAAGAGTCGTGAAATATCCAAACTACTCTCTGAAATGTCATTGTGTCTTATTTATTTGTGCTCCCTTTGTTCCTCCCTTCAGTTTTCCACACCAGACAGGGTCCAGAAGAGAAACAGCAGCAGCTCGTCAGGAAAGAAGCAGAAAAGGACTGTCTCGGTCCCGTCCCCCATTGTCCCATCTCCAAATGTCTCTGCAAAGTAAGCACCACTGCTACAGCTGATGTTGTGGAGACTCATATCTCTGGTCTCTCTCGCTGTTCTCTCTCTGGTCCTGAGTGCACTGCGTTGTGAATTAAGAACACTTGATTTTTGATTTTAGAATATAATGTTAAAAGTGTTTTCTTCACAGATCCAATGGCAGGAGCACCAGAATCCAGACCAGAAATCGGACCTCCTCACTACAGCCCAAAGATGGGGTCCAGACCTCCACAGTGGGGCCTAAAGCCCAGGTCCAGACCCCCACAGTAGAGCTCAAAGACCAGGACCAGGCCCAGACCGAGCAGCCTGACCCAGCGGCCCTAGTCTGGTCTCAGAAAGCTCGTCGCTCCTACAGCCGTCTCAGCGTCCACTCACTGAACAGCCCAAACTCTCGTCTTTCTCTGTTCGGGTTTGAGAAGCTGCAGACCCCTGAGGTGGTCCGCTGGGAGAACCAGAGGGAGAACCGGAGTGGTCTGGACGGGTCCCCCTCTGCTTTGGCCTCCTTCACCTCTCTGCTGGAGGGGGAGGAGTGTGCACTAGAACCAGACCTTAACATCCCTGGAGTTTCTCTGGTCAAAGAGAAGAGGAGGAGGAGGAAGAAGGTGCAGCAGATGGGAGAAAGCGAAATGGACGAGATGGCGGCAAAAATGAACGCAGAGTTCGAGCGGGCAGAGGAGTTCCAGCTCATTGTGGAGTAAAGACTGAAGACACTGGAGACTGTTGCACTCTGTTGCAATATGATAACATATTATACTCTGCTTTAGCTCCAGGGCCCAGACGGACTAAAGAAGGACCTGGTACCAGTTACACAGCAGTGGAAATGAGGCTTTCAATTTTGTATATACTTCTGTGACTGTAAAAGTTGAACTGCTTGGTTATTAAAAACACAGCACACTTGTGTCACCTGAACAGAGTATTTTAAGACGTATTGTGATTAAAGTCTGTAGAAACACATCTGCGTCTGTTACAATGCTAAGCTAACGCCACAAAACAAATGCCCATATAAAGAAACTGGCTCCAGCTTATATTCAAATCTGCTTCTACTGCATTAAGGCTAACACTGTGGTGATGTCACACTCTGTTAGACTACTATCCTTTTATGGTCATATCTGTATATACATAGACAATATCAAATATAAACATCAGGATCACAGAGAGTGATAAACCACAGATTTCACCCCAAAATTTTGAGTGTGACACAAATGTTACTTTTATATGGAAGTCAATAGGAGCCAAACTTCTCCATGAGCACTTCCCTATAGAGCTTCATTGAGCTAGCAGTTTAGCATTGTACATCTGTATACAGAATGGTATACAGTCTATAGTCTGTTGCAACACTGACATTTCCCACAAATACAGGTTCTTTTCACATGTTTCAGTTCTGGCTCCTGTATCTGAGAAGCTTCAAAAGCTGCTGTTTTTTTCTCCAGGACAAAACTGTCCATGAAAGAGAACTCTCTTATCACCAAACGCACCAACGTGACATTGTGCGAAGACGTTTTCTAAAGGAATGATGTATGATGCTAATGCTAACAATACCAGATACAGAAGTCTCTTTAACACTGGGCTGATATGTTCTCAAACACACAATAAGTGAATTCCTCTCCATAGCTGCTGGTGGAGAGACCAGAGAGTCCATCTCATTATTTTCAAATTTGGCAATATATTTATTTATCAGGAAGGAGCTAAACACTGCCTCAGGTCTGTGGCAGGGTTAAAGCCTCTAAAACCAGGTGACTGTCTGCTGTTGTGTGACATCACTCGGGGGAAAGTGCAGCAGCTGCAGCTCACATCACAGTGTTCTGGGAAGAAAAACATGTTTGGATGAATATGAAATGAAGCTGCATTCACCTCAGCTCTAATGAGAGTCAGCGAGACCTGCACCTGCTCAGATCTGCATTTATATCTACATATAGACTGACACTCAGACCGAGGCTGGGACTCATTTTCATCCTACATTGTAATAAATGTGTATCCACACCATGGGCTCTGTCTGACACAAAATATCACATGTGACTGTTAAAGACATGTGTCATGTTAGTACAATCAAGTGGATTGGATTAATAAATTAGATACTTCATTGATCCCAGTAGGAGAAATTCACATGTCCAGCAAAATCACGTCCATCCACACAAACAAAACAAATGAATTGATCCTTCTAAAAAGCTAACAATAGTAATAATAAGCAACAGCCCTTCAGGTCACAGCAGCAGAGATGGAGTAGCCACTGGGTGGAGCAGGACAGGGCTTGGTTCAGACTATTTTCTCTGCTCTGGTAAAAGGCTGAATGCTTCATTAGCATTTTTCAAAAAGTTATCCTTTCTCTAGAGGATTCAACTGTTTCGGAGCTACTCAGGACTTTCTGCCGATTCCAGCACATTAAAAAAAATGCGTTATAGACATTTATGTGTCATGTGACTTATAGACACATGTGACTGTTATATACACATATATGTGTCATATTACCTCTCAGTTAAAATATTACAGATGTCCCTTTAACTGAGAAATGAGAATCACTTGACGTCCTCCAAATGTTTCTGATTCTGCAGCCTCCATTCTCCATTTTGGTTATCATTGTATATATTTTCATCATAATCCTTCACTGTGTGTGCGTGTTCGCGCGCTTCGTTACTTCTATCATTTGCTTCAGATTAATAATCTAATTAGGCGCTTGTCCGGCGGCGGCCGCTGACTCTGCTCCTCCTGTCAGTGCGCACTCTGTAATTATTCTAATCATTTTCTCTGATGTGAAGAGTCTGCTGTGTTTAGAGGCGGTTCTTAATTACACCAAAAGAGAGAGACCAGGGAGAGAGAAAGATAGAGTAGAGAAAGACCAGAGACTAGTGGGACCAGAGGGAGACCAGAAAGAGACCAGAGAGGGGAGCAGAGAGACAAAAGCGAAACCAGAGAGAGACCTTTAATAGCAGAATACTTTCAGGTTTTTTTGTGTAATCTGTTGTTGTATAGTGCCAGAGCAGGGCCTCTTCCTCCCCCTCTCCCTGTCTCCCCCTCTCCCCTGGGTGAAGGGCAAGGCACAGGGGGTGAGAGCTGGAGCCTCAGGGCAGTTCCTGTGTGTGCGGCTGATAAACCAGAGACAGGATCTACAGAAGGGAAGGGAAGGGATGGGGATGTGGTGTTAAGGCGGGGGGGAAAAAACAACAAACTGGGAATAAACACAACAGAGAGAACTGGGACCATGTAGGAGCATATGTTACAGTTCTTCAGTCTGCGGAGGCTGTTTTTAGGAACAGAGAGAGTCTTCATCTGTGTGAGAAAGAACCCATGAGTCACTGAAATACATGAATGTGAAAACTATAGTGACACTCTGATCTTTGTCTCTCTGCCTATAGTCTCTCTCTGGTCTCCTTCTCTGGAATCTGGTCTCTCTTTCTGGTCCCTCTCTCGGGTCTCTGTGTGGTCACTCTCTGGTCTCTCACTGGTCTCTCTCTGGTCTCTTTCTCTGGTCTCTTTCTCTGGTTTATTTCTCTGGTTTCTTTGGTCCCTCTCTAATCTCTCTCCTCGAGCCTCTTTCACATCATGCATTCATGGTCTGTGTTAACCAGCTCTTTACAAATGTCACAACCATATGTTCCACATGATCTGCAATCTCCACTCCCAGGGGACCAGAGGGACCGGCGGGAGCTTTAGAGTCTGCGATAGAGAAAAATGATGGACTGGAGCTTATTGTGCGAAGGATCAGATCGGAGGAGAGTTACTCACAGCTGAAGGGCAAGTTTATTTGTATAACACACTTCATACACAATCAAAGTGAACTTTAGACCAGAGGGAGACCAGAGATAAGACCAGAGGGAGACCATGCAGAGATCACAGAGAGACGAGAGAGACAGACCAAGCCAGACTCTTCAGGCCATTAACCTGCGGGGCTGGTTAATGGTAATACTGTGATGGGAGACACTTCACCCACATAATAAAGAGTGTGTGTGTGTGTGTGTGTGTGTGTGTGTGTGTGTGTGTGTGTGTGTGTGTGTGTGTGTGTGTGTGTGTGTGTGTGTGTGTGTGCGTGCGTGCGTGCGTGCGTGCGTGCGTGCGTGCGTGCGTGTGTGTGTGTGTGTGTGACTTTACCAACGTATGGAGTGAATGAATAAAGCTGTAAAGAGACTTTGAGAAAGAGCTGTATAAAACAGATGCATTATTCTCAGGTCAAACTCAGTCTCGTGTTTTCACTTACCATTGACCTCCACTTGACTGCGTCCATGATTCCATTCACTGAACAGTCCCGCCTCCTCCTGCTCCTCCTTCTTCTCCTCCTCCTCGTCCTCATCCTCCTCCTCCTCTTCAGCACATTGTCTCACTTTACTCTAAACCAGCAGATAAACAGCGGACAAAGCAGACGACGCGCTTCTATAGAGTCCCGTGGAAATCCCATAGACTTCATCATATGTGGGACAATGGGGCCTTTTCACGCCTGTAGGCCTGTGGTCCGGGGGGAGGCAGGAGGGAGGCAGAGGGGGAGGACAGGGGGAGGTCCCGGGTGGGGATGGCAGCAGGTGGAAGGCTCCCGAGGCAGCTGCAGGAGAATAAAAACTATGTATTAAAGGCGATGTATGCAAAACGTCAGATCGATTTAGCGGTGGGACTGCAGGAGAGAAAGGGAGGAGGAGAGAGATTAGAAGGAGAGAGACCAGAGAGAGAGAGACCTGAAAGAGAGAACTGTGAGACTGACCAGGGAGAGAGACCACAGAGAGAGATAGAGACCAGAGAAAGAGACTAGAGAGAACTGAAGGACTGACCAGAGAGAGACCAGAAAGAGACCAGAGAGAGACCTGAAAGAGAGAACTGTGAGACTGACTAGGGAGTGAGAACAGAGAGAGAGAGAGAGACCAAAAAGAGACCGACGTAAGACCAGAGATAGGCCAGAGATGGTCCCACCACTTTAGACTGTGTGAAAACTCTTCCTGGAGATATGTTCAACCTGTTTGTCTGAGTTTCAAGTCACGTTGCATTAAATCAGAACCAGGACTGAGGCTCTGGCCTGTGGCAGGAGGAGACCAGAGAGAGACCATGAGAGAAACCGGACAGACACCAGAGAGTGACTGGACAGAGACCAAAGGGTGACCGGAGAGAGATCCAGAGAAGGCGATGGTCCCACCACTTTAGACTGTTTGTAAACACCTCCTGGAGTCATGTTCGACCTGTGTGTCTGAGTCGTCACGTTGTATTAAATCAGATCCAGGACTGAGGAGTTTTCTCATCGGCTTCAGTCTCTGCCTCAGTCTCTGCCTCAGTCTCTCACCTCTCTCCCTCGCAGCCCTGGAGCAGCTTCTGTCACAATGGGTTTCATTTCCCTGTGTTTTAGACTGAGGCCTCATGCACCAAGGTCACAGCCACCTCCTCTTCCACCTCCTCTTCCACTTCCTCCTCCACCTCCACTTTCTCCTTCTCCTCCACCTCCTCCTCTTCCTCCTCCACCTCCACCTACATCCACCTCCAAACGGATCCGATCAACTGCTACACGGCATCTCAACGCGTTTATAATGGAAATACAATACCAGCAAAGCAAACACATATAGTCATTGGTCTATAGATCCAGGACTGAGACTGTAGACCCAGGACTGAGGCTGTAGATCCAGGACTGAGGCTGTAGATCCAGGACTGAGGCTGTAGATCCAGGACTGAGGCTGTAGATCCAGGACTGAGGCTGTAGATCCAGGACTGAGGCTGTAGATCCAGGATTGAGGCTGTAGATCCAGGATTGAGGTTGTAGATCCAGGACTGAGACTGTAGATCCAGGACTGAGGCTGTAGATCCAGGACTGAGGCTGTAGATCCAGGACTGAGACTGTAGACCCAGGACTGAGGCTGTAGATCCAGGACTGAGGCTGTAGATCCAGGATTGAGGCTGTAGATCCAGGATTGAGGTTGTAGACCCAGGACTGAGGCTGTAGATCCAGGACTGAGGCTGTAGACCCAGGACTGAGGCTGTAGATCCAGGACTGAGGCTGTAGATCCAGGACTGAGGCTGTAGATCCAGGACTGAGACTGTAGACCCAGGACTGAGGCTGTAGATCCAGGACTGAGGCTGTAGATCCAGGACTGAGGCTGTAGATCCAGGATTGAGGTTGTAGACCCAGGACTGAGGCTGTAGATCCAGGACTGAGGCTGTAGACCCAGGACTGAGGCTGTAGATCCAGGACTGAGGCTGTAGATCCAGGACTGAGACTGTAGACCCAGGACTGAGGCTGTAGATCCAGGACTGAGGCTGTAGATCCAGGATTGAGGTTGTAGATCCAGGACTGAGACTGTAGACCCAGGACTGAGGCTGTAGATCCAGGACTGAGGCTGTAGACCCAGGACTGAGGCTGTAGATCCAGGACTGAGGCTGTAGACCCAGGACTGAGGCTGTAGATCCAGGACTGAGGCTGTAGATCCAGGACTGAGGCTGTAGATCCAGGACTGAGGCTGTAGATCCAGGACTGAGGCTATAGACCCAGGACTGAGGCTGTAGATTCAGTTTTCCCATAATGTATTTTGGTGGTTTTCTAATCTTCAACAGCTAATGTTTGTCCGACGACATGTTTTGTTTTTACATGCTGTGTCTTTAATCCTTTTTCTCAAATTATAATGATAATATTCTCACAGCGCGTGGTTCTGGCTCGAGGCGTGATCACTGTCTGTGTGAGGGCGCCTCCTGCTGGACACTGAAGGAACAGCAGCTAGACTTATCCATTACAGGTGCCATATGACGCTCTTCACAGTCCAACTCCTCAGCAAATATTTGATAATGAGTGATACACCATACAACACTCAAAACTTGCATATAGGTCATGTCACCTCGGTTAAATGAGCTGCTATCTGCTCCTCTGTTTGGATTTGTAAATCACCTCCTGGATTTTAAAATTAATATTATCATTATTACTATTACTAATGTTATTGTTATTATGGACAACAAACAGCATATTTATTGTGTATTGTTTTCCGCGTAATATTTGTCATCAGATGTGAGCCGTTTGTTTACTGCCTCTGGGTGAAAGAGAAAAATCATCTCAAAATAAATCTTGAAGGAATCAATGAAAAAAAAATTACCCTGCAAAATGGAACTGGAACAGAAGTCTGAAAGTAAAATGTTGTGAACAAATCAGAGACAACATACTGTCTTCATCATCTGTGAGAAAGAGCCCTGTGAGTCACTGTCTGGTCTCCCTCTAGTCTCTTTCTGTTCTCTCTCTGGTCTTTCTCTGGTCTCTCTCTCTGATTTCTCTCTGGTCCCTGGGGCGTCCTGGTCTCCACACTGAGTTGTTGTTTTTCTCCTTACAGCTGATGCACATGTGACACAGACAAACATTCACCAAAGAAACAGTTTGGAACAGGGACCAGAGAGAGACCATAGAGAGGAACCAAAGAGAGAACAGAGAGAGACCAGAGAGAGACCAGTGAGAGGGACTAGAGAGAGAAACCAGAGAGAGAGACCAGTACTTTCTCCTTTTGTATTTAAATAAACTGTGACAGTCTGGATAAACTCTTTTATTTTTTACAGTTGACTTAATAATAATAATTAATAATCCCTATTTACATTTTGTAATGATATAAACATTCTTCATCCAGGGGCGAGGAATTGCAGATTCCAGGAGAGAGGATGTGTCGTGCCCAACGACACAAGCACAAACTGCTGTATGTAAAATGATCTCCATTATTATCATTAATATAATTAAAAGCATTATATTATTATATCATTATTGCTTTGTGTGGAATGAGGACAAGAACATCACAAACAGAAACAGGCGAAGCTGAAGAAGAGACGGCCATCTATCAACCAGTCACTGGGGAGAGCTCAGGGTAGAGCCACTGCTCTTTCACATCATGAGCATCTATGTCCCACTGTGTGGATAAGTGTTAAACACTGCCTCAGCCAATGAGAGACCAGAGAGAGATCAGAGAGAGACCAAAGAGAGACCAGAGAGTGAGACAAGAGAGAGACCAGAGAGAGACATGAAAGAGATCAGAGAGAGACCAAAGAGAGACCAGAGAGTGAGACAAGAGAGAGGCCAGAGAGAGACCAGAGAGTGAGACAAGAGAGAGACAAGAGAGAGACCAGAGAGATTCAAACCTTCTTTTCATGTTTTGAACTCTTCAGATCCTCAGTTTTAGTGTAATATTGTGGACCCTCTCTCTCTCCTCCATCCTCAAGCCTGCGCCGCCGTCACTGTGGCGTTGGCGGCAGTTGCCACGGAGACGGTGGCGCCGGCTCGCAGCAGCTCTTTGCGGTGTGTGAGGATGAGGTCGAAGCTGCCCTGGAGGCGCTGCTGCTGGTCCTGCACACGGCTCTGCAGAGCGCGCACCCAGCGGATCAACGCCAGGCGGCGGTACATGGTTAGCTGCGTCTGGTGCCGCTCCATCTCCTGAGCCTTGAAGCGTTCACGGTCCCTCAACGTCCACACGGCGTCCATGAGCTCGCCTTGCTCCCCGTCCGAGTCCGACGACTGCTCTTCATCTGAGGGACAAGAGAGACACTATGTGAGCAACTACTATAACCACCTGCCATCAACCATAAACCATCAACCAAGGACTAGTGCAGGAGTGACTACTGTACTTCAATGTTTAGTCTGGTCTCTCTCTGGTCTCTCTGGTCTTTCATTGGTCTCTAGTCTCACCATGGTCAAGGCTGTAGCTGGTAGACCTCCTCTTCTCCAGACTGGAGCGTGTGGCTCCAACTCCGACTCGGTCCCATCTCTCCATTGCGCTCTCATCAGCGCCCTCTATCTGCAGAGACGCCATGCTTCCTGAGTCCGACCCACTGTCACCTCCCCACTCGTCCTGCTCCTCCAGCTCCTCCTGCTCCTTCTGGACCTTCTGTCTCTGCTTCTCCTCGTACTGCTGCATCATGAGTCTCGCCTCTTCCCCTTCCTCCTGCAGGAGCCTCCCCTCCTCAGCGCCATCTGGTGGAACGCGACCGTAACCATCGTCCGCCGCCTCCACTTCTGGTAGCGGCTCGAGTGTAGACCAGCAGGGGATGCGTGCTCGCGGGGAGAGCACGGTGAAAGGGGGGGAAGAGGGGGGAGGCTCGCGACCCACAGGGACCAAGCTTCGAGGGCGGATCTGGTTCCGGTTCTCGTCGTCTTTGGAGGAAGAGGTGGTGGACAGGAAGTTGGAGTTTCCATCTTGGTCCTGGCACTTCCTGTTTCTCAGAGAGTCCAGAGGATCCTGGTGTTGAAGCATCACGGACCGAGACTGAGCCTCACTGCAACACACATGGTATGAGACCAGAGAAACATCAGAGAGAGAGACCAAAGACCAGAGATAGGAGAGACACCAGAGAAAGAACAGAGAGATCAGAGAGAGACCAGAGAGAGAAACTACAGTTTGTACAGATAGTTCTTAAAAACATCTCATTCCACAGATGATGAGACCAGATCACAAGACCAGAGCGAGACTAAAGCCCGAGTCACATGAAGCACAACAGAACAACAATCTGGGGCAATGTTACGGAGTCTTATAATACTTTCACATTCGATTTAAAACAGGAGAGACCAGAGAGAGAGCAGAAAGAGAGAGATCAGAGAAAGAGAAGAGAGAGACCCCAGAGAGAGCAGAAAGAGACACACAAGTTCCCATGGTTTAATCCTGTCTCGCTTCCGACTGCTCCTGAGGCGCGCCCCCGAGACACATCACAACCCGCGGCGCGCCTCGGGAACGCGCACAGCTGCTTCAAAATTGATGCAGAATAAAAACCACGACAGAAACTGTCAACACGGGCCCAAAACGCAAAACATTAGCGGAAGTACGTCCAAATAGCACACGGAGAAAGCGAGAGATACACAGACTGCAAATATTGTGAGAAACGTCAAAACACGGTACCAGGTGAGCCAGGCTCCTCCGCGTAAGCTGGAGCCAACAGAGAGACGCGAGGCCCGGGAGGAACCTGAGAAGAGTCGCTCCATGTGGCTATAGATATGACGCATCGACCTCATGTCGGCAGCTTTTTCGCACCAATTTATTCGCGTTAAACTTTAGAATTTCCAGAAAGACGCTTGGTGAATATGAAGAGCGTCAGTCTGGTGGTGTTATGTAAGGCGGTCTGGCTCTCACCCCATCCCTCCGTCCTGTCCTCTGCAGCGGCGCGCGACGATGGCCCACATCTTGGTGTTGGGTCGTGTTTGGGTGCGTGTGGGTTGCATGTGGAGGCGGGTTGTGTCTGAGGAGGAGTGGGTCTTACCTTCACAGACAGCAGAGATGGGAAGATCCTGCTGCTGATCTATCCTCCTCCTGCAGCGTCAGTCTGAGCTGAGAGGCTGCAGACCTGGAGCTGCACAGAGAGACACGCACTCACATGTCCCAGAGTCTTACGCACAGTAATAGAACAATAAATAAATAGTCTTGCCTCTTCATCTCACCAGAAAACATGTTATTTTCCGTGTCAGAGAGAGACTTGTGAGTCCCGATTTGCCTCTTTGAGCTGATTGGCTGAGTGAGGATGGTCCTCGGATCTAAAGATATGACAGAGACAGAAATACATGATGTGAAACTAAACTGTTTTAGAGCCAGCTGTTTTAGATAGATACATACTTTATTGATCCCCATAGGAGAAATTCAAGTGTCCAGCAGCAGAAGACTCATCCAGGTTTGTTGTACAGACTGACAGGTGAAGGAACAAAGGATCTCTTCAAACGTTCCGTTCGGCAGCGCAGTGAGAGGAGTCTGTTGCTTCGATTACTCCTCTGAGCGGCCATAGTGTCATGTAGAGGGTGTCTGGAGTTGCAGAGGTTGTCTTGAGTTACCCAGGATGCCCTGCATTAGAGCCCTCATCCTTCTTTCCAGCACAGCTCCCACAGAGTCCACACTTCTCCTCATCACAGAGACACATTTCCTGATCAGCCTGCCTGTTTTATTAATAATGCATCAGTTTTTTAGTCTTCTCTAGACTCTCAAAGTCTCTTGCCCTGGGGCAAACTGACAGAAGCGAGGCAACCCATTTCTGCCATTGGCCCCTCCATATCAGACTCATTCTGATGTGGGTGAAGTGTCTTGCCTAAGGATACTACCACAGTTGTATCCTTAGGCAAGACACACGGTGGCTGAGTGGATAGCACTCTCGCCTCTCAGCAAGAAGGTCCTGGGTTCGAATCCCGGTCGGACCAGGGCCTTTCTGAGTGGAGTTTGCATGTTCTCCCTGTGTCTGCGTAGGTTTCCTCCGGGTACTCTGGTTTCCCCTACCACTAAAAATATGTCCAATAGTTCTGGCATGCGCCTCCTGTACTGGCCCCTCCCATTTCTGTGTGGAGGGAGAGACAAATGCCAAAATAAATGAACAATTGTAAACCGCTTTGAGACTCAGATCTGCAGTGAAAAGGCGGTATATAAATAAAGATTACTACTACTACTAGTAAGTAAGTAAGTAAGTAAGCTTTATTTATATACCGCCTTTCACAGACCAGAGTCACAAAGCGGTTTACAATTGTTATTTTTTGGGCACTTGTCCACTCACTCCACACAGAGATGGGAGCGGGGTCGCCGAACAGGAGGCGCATGCCAGACCTATTGTACATATTTTTAGTGGTAGGGGAAACCGGAGTACCCGGAGGAAACCTACTACAGTTGGGCACTATAGCCGCAGCTGCCCCACTGTGGCACCTGGTGTTCCCAGAGGTCTCCCATCACAGTGATAACCAGGCCCTGCCCTACTTTGTTTCAGAGGTCTGACAAGAGCTGGATTTCAGATATGTATTTTTTGTTACATATATGGTTTTTGGAGGGAGTTGAAAGCTAGGTATTTACAAAATCCATCAATTTTCTTACACTTTATCTGTTGCTGAGTCGCAGAGGCAGCAGTCTGACCACACACACTTCCTGCTCATCTGGGGTAATCCTGAGGCGTTCCCTGCTGAGAGACACAGTCCCTCTGCGTCTTAAGGGAACTTCACTCTGGAGGAAACTCATATGTCGCTTGTATCCGTGATGTCGTCCTTTTGTTCTTTAGCCAATAATCAATAATGTAACAATAAACAACACATAGAGACATTGATCCATAAAGGGGCAAAGACCGACTTCCGGGTTGGACTTGTCATGGCGGAAGCATATGAACAGCTCTCCAATTGGAAATAGAGAACCCCACTTCAAAGTTATATTTGCAACAATTTCCCTTTAACCATATTTGACTGTAATATTACAAATCCATCTGATAATTCTGCCTTTCACCAGTCACTTTACTTGTTGATATTATTTCTGATGTTTATTCTGCTCATATTCTCATATTCTCCGCTGCTAATGTATAATATAGACATCTGTAAATACTTTTGAACCAAGTGCAATTATAGCCCAGAGTTAATTTTTATCTTAATTTTATTGTCTATTATCTTAAATAACAGACTTATTTGATGTGTGCAATCTGAGTGCTCTTATTTCCTTTCTCTGCTGTAATGTGCGCAACGATGACACTGAAGTTTCTCCACCGTGAGACTAATAAAGGTTTATCTTATCTTATCTTATCAGTAGTAAAAGAGGGGTATTATGACAGAGGGAGACTAAGACAAACGAAATCCAACATAAAAAAGCTTGTAGAAGAAGCAGACGAGGAACCTGAGCTAGAAGCTACGATGGCTGCGAGTGAGCTAACAGAGGAGCAGCCGCTGGAAACAATGACAGATCTCCAAGCTGTACTTTATTGTCAAAAAAATGACGGACGTGTCTCAGAATTTGATATAGAAATAAGACAAAGATTCAAGAGTTAAATATAAAACAATATTTAATTCTCTTTACAATTAAATATTAATACAAATCTCTCTGAGCTCTATTTCCCTAACTAGTCCTATGAGCTGAGCCATTTTAACTCTCCCTCCAGGCCTGAAAATGTACTGAGAGGACATCCAGGTGCTCTGCGATGTCCCCTCTCTCTGTCCCTGACTGCTGACAAAATGTCCTACCAACAGTTTTATGAAAATGTCATATGGTGAGACCAACTGAGGCCCTGGTCTGGGTCTGGTGTAGTCCGGTTTTGGGTCTCATACCTTGTCCTGATAAGAGAGGCATGCTGTTCCTAAAATGATACTTATATCACAGAAACTAACTTTGTCCTTGAATCTTCTGAATTCACTAAACTTAACACCTAATGATAATAATTAGTATAAACGTTTTATGGAGACATTTCTGAAATCTACATCAACTTCAAGAAATAAATGATTTTTGAATAGAGAATGCAGAATCTTCTAATGAGCTGAAAGAGTAGACAAGGCAGAACCGTGCATCATGTAGTCGGAGTGGTGTATCCAGTTAATTGAAGAGGATACTCTTTCCTGGAGTTGCGAAAAACAAACTATGTCCAGACTGACAGACCAAGAAAGCCGCTCGAGAAGAGGCAATATCAGGATTCACGGGGTAAAAGAAGGCGCCGAAGGCAGGACCCAGTCAATGATTAACGTCATTGTGACCCTGCAGAAAGAGAAGCTGAACCTGTCACTTGTCCTGAATATCCGTAGCCATGTAATTATGTTTACATCTGTACACTAGCAGCAGTATGTTTACATCTGTACATTAGCAGCAGTATTTTTACATCTGTACATTAGCAGCAGTGTACTTACACCTGTACATTAGCAGCAGTATGTTTACATCTGTACATTAGCAGCAGTATGGTTACATCTGTACATTAGCAGCAGTATGTTTACATCTGTACATTAGCAGCAGTGTACTTACACCTGTACATTAGCAGCAGTATGTTTACATCTGTACATTAGCAGCAGTATGTTTACATCTGTACATTAGCAGCAGTATGTTTACATCTGTACATTAGCAGCAGTGTACTTACATCTGTACATTAGCAGCAGTATGTTTACATCTGTACATTAGCAGCAGTATGTTTACATCTGTACATCAGCAGCAGTGTACTTACACCTGTACATTAGCAGCAGTATGTTTACATCTGTACATTAGCAGTAGTATGTTTACATCTGTACATTAGCAGCAGTATGTTTACATCTGTACATTAGCAGCAGTATGTTTACATCTGTACATTAGCAGCAGTATGTTTACATCTGTACATTAGCAGCAGTATGTTTACATCTGTACATTAGCAGCAGTGTACTTACACCTGTACATTAGCAGCAGTATGTTTACATCTGTACATTAGCAGCAGTATGTTTACATCTGTACATTAGCAGCAGTATGTTTACATCTGTACATTAGCAGCAGTATGTTTACATCTGTACATTAGCAGCAGTGTACTTACATCTGTACATTAGCAGCAGTATGTTTACATCTGTACATTAGCAGCAGTATGTTTACATCTGTACATTAGCAGCAGTATGTTTACATCTGTACATTAGCAGCAGTGTACTTACATCTGTACATTAGCAGCAGTATGTTTACATCTGTACATTAGCAGCAGTATGTTTACATCTGTACATTAGCAGCAGTATGTTTACATCTGTACATTAGCAGCAGTATGTTTACATCTGTACATTAGCAGCAGTATGTTTACATCTGTACATTAGCAGCAGTGTACTTACATCTGTACATTAGCAGCAGTATGTTTACATCTGTACATTAGCAGCAGTATGTTTACATCTGTACATTAGCAGCAGTGTACTTACATCTGTACATTAGCAGCAGTATGTTTACATCTGTACATTAGCAGCAGTATGTTTATATCTGTACATTAGCAGCAGTATGTTTACATCTGTACATTAGCAGTAGTATGTTTACATCTGTACATTAGCAGCAGTATGTTTATATCTGTACATTAGCAGCAGTATGTTTACATCTGTACATTAGCAGCAGTATGTTTACATCTGTACATTAGCAGCAGTATGTTTACATCTGTACATTAGCAGCAGTATGTTTACATCTGTACATTAGCAGCAGTATGTTTACATCTGTACATTAGCAGCAGTATGTTTACATCTGTACATTAGCAGCAGTATGTTTACATCTGTACATTAGCAGCAGTATGTTTACATCTGTACATTAGCAGCAGTATGTTTACATCTGTACATTAGCAGCAGTATGTTTACATCTGTACATTAGCAGCAGTATGTTTACATCTGTACATTAGCAGCAGTATGTTTACATCTGAACATTAGCAGCAGTATGTTTACATCTGTACATTAGCAGCAGTGTACTTACATCTGTACATTAGCAGCAGTATGTTTACATCTGTACATTAGCAGCAGTATGTTTACATCTGTAC